GATCACTACTCCTCCTTTCTTTTGTGTTCCATTCACCTGAAAGTTTGTTTCCCATCCTCTTACTTTGAGTCTGTGGGTGTCCTTTCTAGTGAGGTGAGTCTCTTGAATGCAATAGATTGTTGCCTGATGATATTTTATCCATTTTGCCATTCTATGTCTTTTCAGTGGTATATTTAGTTCATTCACATTTAGGCTAATAATTGAAATGCAAGAGTTGATCCCTGTCATAAGGTTCTTACAGAATTGTTGTTCCTGTTTGTTTGTTGTCTTTCTTTGGGTTTTGGAGTTGATTTGTGTGTGTTTTTAATCTTTTGCCTGTACTCTTGTGAAGAGTGTTGTTGTTCTTTTTTCCTTTTCTTCTGTGTTCAGTACTTTCTTAAGTGTTTCTTGTAGAGGTGGTCTGATCACTGGATAGGTTCTTAGGGATTGGATATCTGGAAAAGATTTCAATTCTCCCTCACCAATGAAGCTTAGTTTGGCTGGGTAGGTTATTTTTGGTTGAAATTGTTTATCTTTTAGAACTTTGAAGATAGGGCTCCAGACTCTCCTAGCCTGAAGGGTTTCTGTGGATAAATTTGCTGCTATTCTAATTGGTCTTCCTTGGTAGGTAGTCTGGCCTTTTCCTCTTGCTCCCTTTATGATTTTTTCTTTTATAACAACTTTGTTTAGGTGAATTATTATGTGTCTGGGAGTTGGTCTTCTCATTTGTTGTCTTGCAAGGGTTCTCTGAATCTCTTGTGTTTGAATGTTTTCATCCTTGATGAGATAAGGGAAGTTTTCTTGAATGATTTCATGAAATGTTTGTTCCAGTGTTGCCTCTGTTTCTCTCTCTGCCTCAGGAAGCCCAATTACTCTTAGGTTCAGTCTCGTGAAGTGATCATTCATCTTTTGCAGTTTTTGTTCTGTCTTTTTGAGCTTCTTTTCTATGCTTTTGACAGTTTGGGTTAGTTCTGTGTTTTGGTCTTCAAGCTCTGAGATTCTTTCTTCTGCTTGGCTAATTCTGCTTTCCATGCTTATTAGTTTGTTATTTACTTCCATCACAGTATTCTTCACTGCTCTTATTTCTGACATCAGCTCCTTCCTATTTTCCTCTTGTCTCTCCTCAATTTTTTTAATTCTCTCTATTAATGTCTTGATGTCTGTGTTTGTTGCATGTGACCAGTCGTTCTGGGGTCTCTTCATTGTTTGTGTTCCAGAATCTGTTTTCTCAGTGTCTGATCTTCCAGGGGTCTTGTGAGACCTATATTCTACTTTTGGTTTTCCTTCATTTGTGTGGTTTCTCCCCCTCCCTACTTTTTCCTTCCCTCCACATCACCGTCTTCTTTAATTCTGTTATTCAGGGGTATAGGGATTGGTTTTACTTCTGTTTGTTCAATCTCCTATTCTTTATGTGTGCCCTCTTACTTTGTTCAATTCTGGAGTTGCACTGTAGGTTGGGGGCGGTTCTTTTTGCAGTTTTGGGATTTACTTAATGGGGGAGCTGTGATTGTAAATCTATCTGCAGGTCCTGGTATTCACTGACAGGTGTATGGATAATCTGAAACCCACTTCCCACTGCTTGGAATCTGTCCATGCAGTGGAGCTGTAGGTTTACTCCCTGAAATAAAATTTGGTTAGCAGAGGGAAAAGAATGGAGCAGACAGTGGGTTGAAGAGGGGGGTGGAGAGATAGAGGAGTAAGGGGGGAAACAAATGAGTGTACCAACAGATGGATAGAGAGACCTATATTGAAACAGATAAAAACAATAGACCACAGCTACAGACTAACCAACTCCCATACAAAAAAAATAAAACATACAATGATGCTAACATACAAGCTAACCAACCACCTTATTGGCGTGCTATGCCTCTATACAAAGATATGGTTTACAAAGAGAAAAAAAGAGAAGAAAAGGAAGAGGGAAAAAGGAAAAGAAAGGAACAATACAGTAGGAATAGAATTAAGTCATTAAACTAACAGAACCAATCACGCACACTCTGAGACTTTTCATTTAAGTCCAATTTCCTTTCAGTTCTGACTTCTAGCTTTCTTTACAAGCTGGTAAATTAGCTTGCAGTTAGGGTCAGTTGCCCCTGGCCTGCTGTGAAGGACAGTTGAGATCACCCTCCATTCACCACTCTTGCATGTGTCTTTTTCAAGCTTATTTCTCCTGTTTCGGTGTTGTTACCTTGAATCACCAGCAGGTGGTGCTATCTCAGCTGCTCACCCCAGAGGGGGTGGGGTCAGACAGGAACCGGCAGAAGCTAGAGATGGAAGCATGCCTCAGGGCACACAGGAGGAGACCCATGGCAGGCATGATGTCACGATCACAGGAGAGGTGGCAGTGGTCCAAACAGATCTTCCCTGCAGGGGCTTCAAGGACTGAAGTTGTGGATCCCCTCAGGCATGGGTGGTGTGATGTGCTATGGCCGTCATGGAGGCCATGGCGGTGGCGCCGGCGGCTGCTGTGTCTTTGCTGCAGTGACTGTCTAGACCGCTGTGATGCCCCAGCGGTGGCAACAGCCGAGCTTTGTGTGGAGAGTAGGCTGCGATGTTGGGGTCTGCAACCCCTGGGGAGAGAGCCAGAGACCCACTGCAGTTCTCTTTTGCAGAGGGTTTCATAGACAGGTTGCCCCGTTGCCATCTGCCGGAAGTTCCTGGTTTTACTTCTTTTTGCTCAATCTCCTAGTCTTCCTTATGTAAATCCTCTAGCCTTGTTCAATTTTGAATCTGGACTGTAGGTTGGGGTCTGTATTTTTGAAGTTTTGAGATTTAATTGAGGGGGTTGCTGTGATTCAAAATTTATCTGCAGATTTCAGTATCCACTGACAAGTGTATGAGTATCCTGTAACTCACTTCTCACTGTCTTGCAATCTGTCCATGCAGTGAGGGTATATGTTTGCTCCTTGAAAGCAAAATGAAGTTAAGAGAAAGGAAAAGAATGGAACAGGGAAGAAGGAGGAAAGAGGAAGGTGGAAGGAGAGAAGACCAAGAGGGAAAGCAGACTAACGTTCCAACTAACAAATGAAAAGAGACACAAAGACAGAGAAGAGTTAAAAAAAAAAAAACTGTAACACACAGACCATCTTACAAACACACAAACCAACCAATCTCAATATTGATATATTATTCCCCTACACAAACAGGGAGTCTGTAGAAAAAAAAAATTAAAAAAATAAAATAAAATAAAAATAAAAACAAATCAGTAAAATAACAGAAACAATGCAAGTATGTAAACACTGTCATTAACAGTAAGAAGAGAGAAAAAAGCAGGAAAAATTAGTAAAACAAATAATAAAATAAAAAACAAATAAAATATAAAATATAAAAAAAATAAAAACAAAGTATAAGGCTTGCTCTGAGATCATTCCTGGAAGTCCAGCATCCTTCTAGCTCTGATCTGTAGCTCTCTTCACAGGCTGCTAGGGTTGTTCACAGCTAAAGTCAGATGCCTTATGCCTGTCTGTATCTGATCCAGTATGGGGGAGGCACTTCTGTGTCTCTCAGTTTGATGCAATTGCCTTATGTCCTGATTGGAGGTTAGGCAGAACTGGGCAGATATGGGTGGGGCAATACAGTTCTCTGCCTGGTGTTGGGGCTCCTGCTGATCTCTGGTCCCACCGGGCCGGAGGCAAGCTGGGGGAAGAGGAGTGTGAGATGCCTGGTGTTGTAGAGTGGTGTGGTGCAGGGCAGCTGGGGGCAGGGCAGGGCAGTCCTCACGGGAGCCAGCGCTCCACAGCCGGGAGTAAAGTGTCACCCGAGACAGGGCAGCAGTGATGGTAGTGGGACAGTGAAGCTGAAGCGGGAGACCAGAGCTCTACGGCCTGGGAGTTGAGGGTCACCCAAGCAAGGCAAGGCAGCAGTGGCAGTGGTGGAATGGTGTAGCCAACGAGGGAGCCCAGAGCTCCAAAGGGCCAGGAGCTGAGGGCTGCCTAGGGTAGAGCAGCAGCAGTGGTGGCCACAGCAACTGGGAGGTGCATGGGACCGAGAGCCTCCAGACCTCAGACCGGTGCAGCTGGTGAGGAGGAAAGTGAGAGCTATGGACATTCAGTTTGACGGAGATTCTCACAGTCCCTTCTGTCCCTTTGCCATCTTGTCAGAAGGCTCCCCAATCTATTACTTTTAACTAAATTTTGAAATTTATTTGCATTGAATGTATTTATGTATTAAAAAGGCCTTTTAAAGCCATGTTAGTACTTTTTCTATATGTTTTATTATACTTTTGTTTCTCAATTCCTTTTTAATGGTATATTTTGTATTAAGTAGACATTTTATCATTTTAATTATCTTTTTGCTATTTCTTTTACTCTGTATTTTTCAGTTATTTTCTCAGTAGTTGCACTAAGTAGCATTAATATTTTAATTTATGACAATGTTAATACAAATTGATACCAAATTTTAATAATATATGACATTTTGCTACTATATAGATTCTCTCTTTTTGTGCTGTTATTTTCATTGTCAATTACATTTTTATACACTGAAAGTACATTCAATGTAGAGTTATGAATATTGTATGTGTTTTACAAATCAGATGAGAAAAAAAAGTTACCAAAATTACACTTCCAATCTAATTTACATTTTTTAATGTTTTCAAACATACTTACCTTTATTACGTTCATTTTTTTCTCTTTGGATTTAAGTTAGTGTCATGTGTTCCTTAATTCTACCTTAAAAAAATCCCTTTGATATGTATTACAGTGGAAATTTGTTAGTAGCAAATTTTCTTATATTTGTTTACCTGAAAATATTAAGATTTTTCATTTTTGAAGGACAATGTTTACAGATATCAATTTTTTGATTTGCAGGGATTTTTTTCAGTACTTTGAATATATAGCACCCTACTATGTCATGATTTCTACCAGACCTCTATAGTATTTTTCATATGCTGTCTTAGATTAATGATTAGCTTATAATTGGACTAATATTTTCTTAAATACTTGAAATCAATTTTAAAATATTTTGCCAGTTTTTAAATTGTTCTGTGAATTTTCAGAGATCCTTACTCAATCATTTTTAACAATGGCATTAACACATATTTATTGAATAAATAAAAAAGTAAAGTTGGGGCTAATATCAAAGATTATTTAAACTTTCTTTACTACAGGTGCAATAAATATACTTAATGATACAAGATGTGAGAAGTACAAGAAAGATATTAAGGGTAAATTGTTTTGACATATTAAAGGAGGAAAAAATTTTCCCTTCCATAAATAAAAGAGACTGAAAATAAACTTGGCAAGGATGCAAATAAGTACATACTTTGACAGTCAAAAATTAAGGATTTTAACTGATGTGCTTTTTTTCTATATGAGAAAAAAAGAATTAAGCTATTTACTGAGAATAAAGAAGGAAATAAGGAGAACTGAAGTTTTAAGGAAAACGGAGAATAGAACAACACATGCTTGTTGTTTCTTTGAAGCATCAAGAAGAATTGTGTATTGTTGTGGAGCATAGTGTAGAATGATAAGAAACTAAGTTGAACAGTAGCCAAAGGATGAGTCATGTAGGTCTTTAAAGGTTATTTAATATGTATTGGATTTTTAAAATATATTATGTGAAATTAATGGGGCATTTTAAGAAGATGATTGAAGTGCTTACATTTTTATTAATATCACATTGTTTTCTTGTGAACAGATTGTGGGTGATCAGGGCTCAGGCTGAAATCTCAGAAAGATCTATAATTTAAGATGGAATCAAGAGGATTTTCTGATACATTGGGTATAAATAGTGAGTTAGAGTAAACGCAATAATTACTCTAAAATCCCTTACATGAATTACTGAATTGACAATGTGCTATCCCTAAAGACTATGCTGGAGTTTAGATATGAGAAGATTTTAGTTTTGGCAGGTTATTTGAAGATACTTGATAGTCATTCAAATAATTCTATGTAAAACATCTAAGACTGCTGATATGAATTTGACATTTGTCAGCATGTAATTGCATTTAAAGCTACGTGACAAGATTAGATTATCTAGAGAAAAAGAGATAAGGTAGAGGAAAATTCCAGGGATTGTACATTGGGACATTTCAATATTAAGTGGGAATAGAGTTGAGAATGAACCTACAAAGGAAGCTGAGATGCAGTATCAAGTGAATACTAAAGAAACCATTTCATGGTGCTTAAAGTCAAGAGAAGGAAGCCCAAGCCGGGCTCGGTGGCTCAGCCTGTAATCCCGCGCCTTTGGGAGGCTGAGGTGAGTGGATTGCCTGAGCCCGCGGGTTCGAGACCCGCCTGGGCAGCGAGACCTCATCTCTACAATAAATCAAAAATTCAGCCGGGCGTGGTAGCGTGCACCTGTAATTCCGGCTACTCGGAAGGCTAAGGTGGAAGGATCGCCAGAGCCCAACAAGTGGAGGCTGCGGTGGCCGGGAGCGGCCACTGCACTCCAGTCTGGGTGACAGAGTGAGACTCCAACTCAAAAAAAAAAAAAAAAAAAAGAGAGAAGGAAGCCTTTTAAGTAATAAAGATTTATTAATATATTCCAGGCTCTTTGTAAGTCAAAAACACAAAGAAGGAAATGTGATTATTGGATTTTTTTTTTTTTGAAAGTCACTGGTGGCTTTGAAATGAACAGTTCCATTTCAATAAACAGATGCAAATGAGAGCCAAACTGAAATGTTTAACAAAACATAAGAGAAGAATAACTGATGAAGGTGACGAGCCAACTATTTTGAAGAGTGTTTATGCAAATGTAGCAGCCATTTCAGCAGTAGTGCAGGGAATTTGGAACTAACTAGGAGTTTTTAAAGAAATGTTTTTATGCTGATGAAAATAAACTCATAAAGAAAAAAAATCTGATGTTGCTGCAAGAGATGGGAGATAATTTCAAAAGCACAGTCCCTAAATGAATTGTGGGTAGGGATGAAATCCAGTACATGTGAGAAGAGATTGGTGTTGGATGCACAGGCAGTTCACTCATTTTAATAGAAAGATACATTACATGAGTATGGTATTGGATGTAAATAATGTAAATATTTTCTGATGATTTTTATTAATGTTTTTAGTGAAATAATAAGCATGATCAGATTGAGTGTGCATGAAAGGATTAAAGTGATATTAGAAGTTTGTAAAGAAATGCAAATGTGTGATATATATGTGATTAATTAAGAGTGTTGATTAGCCTGGCTCGGTGACTCAGCCTGTAATCCCGTGCTTTGGGATGCTGAGGTGAGTGGATTGCCTGAGCCCGCGGGTTCGCGACCCACCTGGGCAACTTGGCAAGACCTCATCTGTACAATAAATCAAAAAAATTAGCCGGGTGTGGTAGCGCGTGCCTGTAGTTCCAGCTACTTGGAAGGCTGAGGCAGAGGGATTGCTGGAGCCCAGCAGGTCAAGGCTGCAATGGCTGGGAGC